ATTATTATTATTATTATTATTATTATTATTATACCAACTGGGTCGCAACAACCAGGTCAAACAATCTCAGATGTAATAACAACCCGGTCCAGTAGGGGGCGGTAGCAACAACGTTTGTTCTATGAAGACACGAAGCAAACCACAACAGAGCTAATAGTAAATAACACACACACGGTTTGCCAGGAGAAGGAGCGTACTGTTTTATCTTCAATATGCTGAAAAAGAAATCAAGCGGTGCAGAAAAGAAAAGGAAACACTCAAAGTCAGAAGAACGTCAGGCAGTCAGGAAACGGAGGAGCTCGGAGACACACGTGGAGGTGAGTTATTGAAGTTAGCCTCATGCTAACATCGCTCCTTTCTCCTCTCTGATTTACCAACTAAAACATTTGATTTAATATTAACATGTGCATTGAAATGTTAATTAAAGGCTGTTATAGTGACCTTTAAATACAGCTATACATTTGAATAAAGTCAGTAAAAAATGAAGCAGCATTGTTATTTTCTAAGCAGCATTTACAAAATAAAAGCTGTTTTTTTGTTGTTGACCTTTTCAGATTTTGCTTATTTTTGTGCTGATGCGTTGTTTTACTTTTCTCTGTAAATATAGAACTTTATCCTAATAAAACAAAATGATTGTCAGACCTGCTTCTGTTTTATTTTGGGAAAAAAAATAAAAGTGGAATCGTATTCGTTTTGCATGAAAAACAGCCGTGTCTCCTCTGTCTCGTAGGACTCCAAGGACGAGCTCGCAGACCCGGAGCTGGACCGGATCGGCAGCGACATCGAGGAAGGGGGACTTGACCTCAGCGTGCCCTTCCAGCCCATCACAGCGTACATCGGCGACAAGGGGGAGATGCTGCAGCAGTGCTTCCGGGTGTTGGGGGAGAAGAAGCTGAGGAAGATGCTGCCTGATGAGTTCAAGGTGGTTTGACAAAACATCAGACTCTGCAGCTCATGATAAACAAACAAAACAAAAAAAGGTGTGGTGATAAATCATCACATAATACAACTTGTTACGTTTATTTTCACAGGATTGTAGTTTAGAGGAAATCAAAACACTGTGCTGGGAGCAACTAGAGCCGATCTCAGAGAAAAATCTACATCAGATTTTAGCAGGTAAGATTTAAGGCCAGTTTTGAGRACTACGATACAGTGTTTTGGACGGATAAGTTGTCTAGATTTAACTTAAAACTGTTTGATTTAAAGGAGAAGAGCTGGCACCTGGAAACAACAATGAAGGGACCTCAGAGAGCCAGTGAGTAATCAGAGATACAAACTGTTCAATAAAACAGTTTCAAACATTACATCATTTTTATTCTTCTTCTTTCTTTATCCAGGCAAGACAATAATGTCGACTCTACTTCTTGCCTCAAGGAAACGGCAAAAACGGACGACCCGAAACAAGGTAGTTATTGTGTTTTAGTTAAACTTCAACAATAACACAACACAGTCTGATTAACCAGGCGTTAGTCATTCCTGTGATTGTTAAAGGGATCCCCGATTAGTTGTAACATTAGACTTTATTTAATAAACATATACGTTAACTGTAAAATAAAGACTAAAAATACTGTCGGATGTTCAGTTTTTATCATTTTTAAACTAAAAGTTAAAAAATATATTACACGGACGGGGCCATTTTATTTACAAGCAAAGCATTCTGGGTAA